CAATCGGTGAAGATCTTCCTTATTTTTTAACTTTGTTTTTGGTTAAAAATCGCCGAAGTCAATAATCCTAGTTCATACGAGAGCCAGACATGTACTCTTTCTAACACCGTTGGAATTTTCGGATTCCGATGTTCCAGTGAGGAGTTATCATGCCCGCCATCAAAAATAAGGACTTTTATTTAATTACAAAAAACAACAACAAAACAATAACAAACATTTTTTGTAAATTATTTTTCTTCTCTTTTAAATCTTCAAATATATATGCAAAGTTACAAACCTTAACAAGCATTGGTATTGATTTACCAGCCCATTGAAAATCTTGAAAAATTAAAATCGAGAATGGGTGGGGTTCCCTTAAATTATGAAATACCTCTACTCAAGGGCTGGTCATCTGTCTAAATAGGTTCGCTTTGAAAAATGAAGAGTGTGAACAATTGCTGGCAATTTGGCTTCTTATCAATGAGCTTAAAAAAAACCCATCGTGTATCAGCGAAGATTATTACAAGAGTACATGGAATTTCGTTGGAGACCATAAGGTATATACATATATATTATTCATCTGAATAAAATTCTATTTCGATTTCATCATGTCTGTATGTTGAAATCATAGGATTTTCAATATTTAAGATGGAGAATTTTTACACATCCATTGAAAGGATCTTTGACATTACAAATGAGATTAGATATAGCTCCCATATAAAAGGTACCACCCGATTTTGTCATGTCCTGTCCGTCTGTTGAAATCTTAGGATATTCAATATTTAAGATTGATAATTTTTACACATCCATTGAAAGGATCTTTGGCATAGCAAATGAGATGAGATATAGCTCCCATATAAAAGGTAACACCCCATTGCGATTTATCGGCATAAAATATTTTCAGACAAAATGCATTTGGGAAAAAATGGGTGAGCCACGACCCCTTCATGTTAGGTATTTTGGGGATGTTGGGTTCGTTTTTCAACCGAATTGGTTATAATTTGGTATTTTGGATGCTCGTTTTATAGAAAATATCCATACAAAAATGATCAATATTGGACTAGTTTTGATTTTTCGGAATTTGGTCACGTTGTTTAAACTGTATGTATATGAGGTTCTAATTGGGTTGCAAATTTTCCTGCCAAAAACCAATTTTTTAAAGAAGTCCCCAAGGATAAGTGGGGCACATTTTTCAGCAATTTTGGTGGTAATTTTATATTTTGGATTCACATTTGTTGAAATGACTGGTGTCACAAGAAGAGGCGGATCGAAACAATCTGATGTTGGGTTCGTTTTTCAAACGAATTGGTTATAATTTGGTATTTTGGATTCTTGTTTTATAGAAAATACAAAAATGATCAATATTGGACTAGTTCTGAATTTTTTTGGAATTTGGTACGCTGTTTAAACTCTATGTATATGAGGTTCTAATTGGGTAGCAAATCTTCCTACCAAAAACCAACTTTTTAAAGAAGTCCCCAAGGGTAAATTGCGCACATTTTTCAGTCATTTTGGTGGTAATTTTATATTTTGGATTCCCATTTATTGAAATGACTGGTGTCACAAGAAGAGGCGGATCGAAACAATCTGAAGTAATTACTTACTTTACTTAGTTGGCTCGAGACAGAACATTTGTTCCATAAGCCGATCTTGTGCGCAATTTGTCCAATTTGAAAGATATGTCATCCTCTAAATGATTATTCCATCGAATTCGTGGTCTTCCCCTTCTGCTCGCTTTTATATGCCTTATGAGGTGGGGCATTCTCATCCATTCGAACAACATGTCCTAGCCACCGTAGTCGTTGCAGCTTGATACCACTGACAATGCCGATGTCCGAGAATAGATGGTACAACTTATGTTTCATTCGACGGCGATATTCGCCGTCAATGCAGATCGGCCAATAGATCTTTCGGAGAATTTTTTTCTCAAACACTCCAAGAGCTGCCTCATTTGCTTGCGTAAGTAGCCATGCTTCAGATCCATATCACAGCACGAGTAATATCAGCTTCTTCATGTAGAGTGTGTGTTTGGTCCGGCGAGAGGTGGCCTTGTTTTTGAATTGCTTACTCTGACCATAGTAGCATCTGTTGGCCAACACTATCTTTCTCCGAATTAAAAAAACTGATGTCATTAGTTTTATTTATGGCGGTACCAAGGTTTATAAAATCTACGACTACATAGATGCTGTAGTTTTCAAGTTACACCGTTGGACGTCTTGCGCATTGATCAGCTTGGTCTTCTCGCCATTTACTGGCAAACCCACTTTGATCGACTCTTTCTCAATTGGCCTCTCAAATTGGCCAAAGGTGGCCCTTACCGTTCGCAATGTTCGACCTATTATATCGATGTCATCGGCGTATACGAGTAATATGTGTTGTTTGGTGTACAAAGTGACACTTCTCTTCACCTTTGCCTCTCGTATGACCTTTACCAGCAGGATGATAAAAAGATCACACAGCAAACTGTCACCTTGTCCGAATCCTCGTTCGGTAATGAAGGGCTCCGATAGGTCATCCCGACTTTAAATGCTGTCATGTGCCAGTTAAGGATATCCAGCATAGCCGTATTAAGTTTACAGGAATGACGAACACAGACATTGCTTTAAACACCTCTGAGTGGATATGGCTATCGAATGCGGCTTTATAGTAGAATAGGTGGAATATGTCAATGTGTTTTTCGTGTGTCTTCTCCAGGATCTGGTACAGAGTGAGAATCTGGTCAATGGTGGATTTACCATGCCTGAAGCCGCATTGGTATGGTCCAATAATGTCGCTGACCATTGGCACTTTATATGCGATAGGAAGGAGATTTATTTCTCTATAGTTGGCACATATCGTCTTGTCTCCTTTTTAGTGCACGGGACACAGGATGCTGAGATTCCAATCATTGGGCATGCATTCCTCTAGCCAAATTCTACAAATCAGCTGGCGCATGCTCTTGACCATCATCTGACCACCGGTCAGAAATAGTTCGGCAGGTAACCCATCGGCTCTTGCTGCTTTATTACTCTTTTGCCGATTGATTGCTATTCTGACCTCATATTGGCTAGGTGGTATACATTCTATGCCGTCATCTCTTATTGGTTCTGGGTATCTTCTTCACCGCCACTATTTGATACCAGAAGCTTTTCAAAATGCTAATTCCAGATCCTTAGCACGCTATCTGTATCTGTCACCAGGTTCCCATCTTCAACTTTACAACATTTCACAGTCATGGTTACAAATATTAAGTTGTGAAAAGTTTAGTTCAAATAGGATAGTTCGTTCACATAATGATATAAAATTTATTTTCAGCGAAATCTTGAGCATATTGTGGGGGAGGTACAAGAAGGAGTAGAGCGATGAGTCGGATATAATATGACCCCCTTTTGGGGAAGGTACTGGAACGTGTGGGCCGGTAGGTCCCACATATTACAATATTATACAGTCATGGTTATAATATTAAGTTGCGCAAAATTTGGTTCAAATCGTAAAGTTCGTTCACATGATATTGGAAAATTAATTTTCAGCACAATTTTGACCATTTTGTGGGGTTGGTACCAGAAGGAGTGGACAGGTATTCCCCATCGTCAAACTTGAATTAAGTTTCAAATAAATATTACGATGTGTAAAGTTTGCATGAAATCTGTTACTCCCTTTGACAGTTATTGTGCGCACCAGGCGGTCAGAGGGACATTTGTAAATCGACTCCAAACTGTCTAAAACGGCTTTGGTCCAAAGAAACATGGGGTCTAAAATCAACATTTAGATGAGACACATTTTTACCGTATCAAAGTGTATATACCCTCATTAGCTGAGGGTATAAAAATACAGTGCAAAATATTTTTAAAATAGGCCCTTATAAAGGTCCCGGTCCACTTTAAATACTTTCATGGCCATAGGCCTAATGATGTGCTTTTAATTACACATTTCAGAGGATGAAAGGCCTCTTCGTAGAAAATGTCCACTATATATGTCAATGTTTTTAGATAGCTCGCTATATTAAGTTCCTGACTCATTTGAGGTATTTAGAACGTCCTAGCCTCGTTTCCAATTTGAAACATCAGATGGTGAGAGGATAAAATTCTTCTTTAGAACATTTTTCAATTTAGTTACGCTCCATTTTCAATATTTTGAATGTCCTAATTTTATTTCAATAACCAAGCAAAGTATCCAGGTAAAAATTTGCAATATATGTCAACTTTTAGATATTTTCAGAGGCTTTTTCTATTTAGGCGCATTTTGCAACCAAATGGACTGTATTTTAACCATATTAGAACTATACTACTTAAGATAAAAGCCACCAAATAACTACCTCAAGCTCAATAGGTTAGACGCATTCCCGACTAAAGTTATTTCATAAACTCGGTCGCGGTGAAGGACTCGGTACAACACATCTTTTTTATCAATTTATATTTTTATTACCCAATTATCATCTGTTAACACCTAAAATTTCTTGTCTTGTACAAAACATATATCGTATTAATATTTATTTTATTGTTAAAAATAAAATTTTATTAACACTTGTTTATAGCCTACATGTCCCCAGTATGTTGGTAGAGAGATAGGCCTATGTAAGTCATTGTCCTCACATGCAGAGCAGACAGTATTGTTTGCCATCATGTTTGCCGTTCTCCATTACTAAGCAAAATTATTTAATGATAGCATCTATAAATGATACTTCTTGCTTTCTCTGTTTTCTTTTTTTTTTGTATTTCCAGCACAAATAGCTACAGTTGCCTTCTGCATGCACACAACAGGAGACGAATCATTGCCTCAACATTTGAGTGTTTTATGTGAGTGTGGTTATTATTTAAACACCACCCTCTGGGGAATGCCAGACATCCACATCGACACTGTAGTCGTCTTCTTCGTTGTCACCATACATGCGAAGTAGAAAATCAGCTTGACATTGACAAGCAGAGAAAAACTTTTCAACTCTGAGGTTTCACCGCTACCGACACTTAAGGTTGACTGGGGGACCCCCATTATCATTGTAGCCTGCCGTCTCAGTCATCGAAAAACACCTTCCATAACAACACCATCCGCAGCAGCATCGCCATAAACATCATGTCATCATTGCCCAATAACATCGATTATGACTACCTAATGAAATTCCTGGCCCTGGGTGATTCGGGTGTTGGAAAGACGAGCTTTTTGTATCAATACACAGATGGACGATTTCATTCACAATTTATATCAACAGTTGGCATAGATTTCCGAGAGAAGAGATTGGTAAGTATATGGGTATGAGTGTGTTTGTGTGTGATTGTTCGACTACAGGTGTGCTGTGTAAATGTTGCCATTAATTTAAATGTAAATTATGGATCTAATAGGCCTGTCAGACATTTGAATATCCTACACAAATGAAATGGGAAAATCTTGAAAAAGTATTTTTAAAAGAATCCAGGCCTATGGTTAGTCATTGAAAAAAATATTTAAAAAAAATCCACGCCTGTGGTTAGTCATTGAGAAAAATATTTTTAAAAAATCAAAGAATTTTAAAAAATTGCGTACTCCAAAAAATTTTAAATAATTGGGTACTCCCAAAAATTTTTATAAAAAATCCACACCAATGGTTAGTCTTTGAAAAATATTTTTAAAAATGGTTGGTTAATCTATAAAAAATTTTAGGTCTTGTAGTTAGTTACTTATATTACTTACTTAGCTGGCTTGTGACAGAACTTACGTTCCATAAGCTGAGCTTAGAAAAGATTTCCAGGCGCGTCGGTCTTTTGCGCAATGTTTCCAGTTTGAAAGACCATTTTCGGCGATATTGTCTTCGACTTGATCTTACCAACGTATTCTTGGCCTTCCCCTTCTGCGCGAACCATCAGCTGATTCTCTTTTATATGCCTTCTGGACTGGGGCATCTGCATCCATTCTCATAATATGACCTAGCCAACGTAGTCGCTGCAGCTCAATACGTCTAACAATGTCGATGTCCGAGAATAGCTGGTACAACTCATGGTTCATTCGACGGCGATATTCACCGTCAACGCAGATCGGCCCATAGATCTTTCGTAGAATTTTTCTTTCAAACACTTCAAGAGCTGCCTCATCTGCTTGCGTTAGTACCCATGCTTCAGATCCGTATAACAGCACGGGTAGTATCAGCGTCCTGTAGAGTGTGACTTTTGTTTGGCGGGAGATGGTTTTGCCTTTGAGTTGTTTGCTCAGACCATAGTACCATCGGTTGGCCATCACTATTCTTCTCCGAATTTGAAAACTGATGTCATTCGTTTTGTTTCGGGACAAGGGGTGCTTTCGTCAAGCAATTGGGTAATTTGAGCGGAGTAGGCTTCTGCCATCTGTTGTGTTTGCAGTTTTCCGACGTCAAATTTCCGTGTTACATTAGATCGCCATGGTGCGAATCGATATTCGCTCCCCGGATCGATCGGACGTCTAACTGGATGTATGCCTTCCGTCTATGACAACATGATCGATTTGATTTCTCGTTGTTCGATCGGGAGAAATCTAAGTGGCCTTGTGTATATCGAGATGCTTGAATCTGGTGCTGCTAACTACCATGTTTTTTGCTGCCGCGAAGTCAATCAACCTCATGCCGTTGTCTGATGTTTCTTCATGGTGGCTGTATTTTCCGACGGTGGGGCCAAAAATATTTTCCCTTCCGATTTTTGCATTAAAATCTCCTAGCAGAGTTTTAATGTCATGACCATGCAGAGGTCATATGCAGTTTCTAGGGGCTCGTAAAAAATGTCTGTGGTCGGTCCATCTTTGTCTTCCGTCGGAGCATGGGCGGAAGTAAGACTGATGTTGAAGAACTTCGCTTTTATACGGATTATAACAATTCGCTCATCTACTGGAGTGAATCTGAAGACGAGGTCTTTTATGCTCCTGTTAACCATAAATCCGCAGCCAAATTCATGTCTCATTTCATGCCAGCTATAATACAGGGCGTACTCATCTGATTTACTTACGCCAGACCCTATCCATCGTATTTCCTGTAAGGCAATAATATCGGCTTTGTAATTCTTGAGTACATCCGCCAAAGCGAACACAGCGCCTATTCTGTACAACGTGCGCACATTCCAAGTGCAGATTCACAGATTGTGGTCCTTTATGCGTTTGCGGGGGTCGTCAACATTAGGGGTTTGGTTTTCTTTTTCACATATACATGCCCGACTAAAGGTATTCTGTAGCTATAGATCCATATTTTAAAATCTTCTGGATTCGTTTATACACAATTGGTATGTTCCCGTACTGCATGAATCTACTACATTTTACTACGATAATGAATTTTTCTTTATGATATCGAAGAAAATAGTAGAATCTAGTAGATTCTAGCAGTACGGGAACAGACCAAATATATTTTTTCGACACAGTACTATGATCGTTTTTGAAAGGAAGTATTTGAAACTGGAAAATTAAAGCTGAATAATAATTGAAAATAAATGTTTCAAATTAACAGAAATTTTTTCAAAAATCAGTTTCTACAAGGAAGCCATTGGATTGGAACCCAATTTTTCAGTAGCAAACCTCCCAATAAGACAAACAAATCACCGGGACAAGGAAAATCGCAGGGAGCAGCAACTAAACCCCCGGATACTAAACCTCCACCACCTCCTCCGCCTGGAACTCCACCACCACAAACGAAAACAAAATTCGGCCCATTGGCGGATTCCGATCGAATTTTCACAAATTTATATGGTCGCCATGATTGGACCTTGCGTGGGGCATTAGAACGTGGCGATTGGTATCGAACCAAGGAAATTCTTTGCAAAGGACGTGAATGGATAGTTAATGAAATTAAAACATCCGGTTTGAGAGGTCGAGGCGGTGCCGGATTTCCTAGTGGTCTAAAATGGTCTTTTATGAGTGGCCCATCAGATGCACGTCCTCGATTTTTAGTTGTCAATGCTGATGAAGGTGAACCGGGAACATGTAAAGATCGGGAAATTTTACGTCATGATCCTCATAAATTAATAGAAGGATGCCTCATTGCGGGAAGGGCATTAGCGGCCCAGACAGCTTTTATTTATGTTCGTGGTGAATTCTACAATGAAACCTGCAATCTACAATATGCTCTCGCCGAGGCCTATAAGTGTGGTTTAATTGGTCGCAATGCCTGTGATTCGGGTTATGATTTTGATATTCACATACAACGTGGTGCTGGGGCCTATATTTGCGGTGAGGAGACCGCTTTAATTGAGTCCATAGAAGGGAAGCAGGGTAAACCAAGATTGAAACCACCATTCCCCGCCGATGTTGGCCTCTTTGGTTGCCCAACAATGGTGACAAATGTGGAAACAGTGGCAGTGTCACCGACAATCTGTCGTCGTGGAGGTAAATGGTTTGCCAGTTTTGGACGTACACGAAATTCGGGAACAAAGCTGTTCAATATCAGTGGCCATGTCAAGAGACCCTGTACGGTAGAAGAAGAAATGTCAATGCCACTGCGTGAAATTATCGAACGCCATGCGGGTGGTGTACGTGGTGGTTGGGATAATCTCTTGGCTGTTATACCCGGAGGTTCCTCCACACCTGTCATACCCAAAAAAGTATGCGATGATGTCATTATGGATTATGATGGCCTTATGGCAGCTCAAACTTCTCTAGGGACTGCAGCAATTATTGCCATGGACAAATCAACAGATATTATTCGAGCCATTGCCCGTCTTAGTCAATTTTATCGTCATGAAAGTTGTGGCCAATGTACCCCATGTCGTGAAGGTGTTCCATGGATGTCAAAGATTATGGATCGTTTCGTAACGGGAAATGCTGAACCGGTGGAAATTGATATGCTCTACGAAATATCGAAACAAATTGAAGGTCATACAATATGTGCATTTGGTGATGGTGCCGCTTGGCCACCGCAAGGTTTGATTCGGCATTTTCGGCCGGAAATTGAAAAGCGTATGAAGTTATATGTTGAGAAATTGCCACAAAAGAAACCTGTGAAGAGGAAGTGTAATCAAGGAGGGAAATAAAAATTGAGTTTTTTTGTTTTGAATTGTTTGTAAAAAAATATGTAACGATAATTTTTGGTACTTTATATGTTGAATATATATTCTTTTGATGGTAGAAGAACCTATGTATGTAGGGATTCTAACTGATAACCCTTATACAGGTACACCATAGTCTTATATAGCTGGAAGATCCTATAAAGGGTCTAAGATAAAGCTAGAAGCCTCCATACAGATCTACTATATCTAGATGACCCGTTAAAGGTCTTCTATGTCTATACAGAAGACCGATGCTATAAGAAATTATTTTATAGTTAGCAGTTCTTTATGGCAAGAAGAGCCTATACTGATCTTCTATATCTACAATACCCTATAAAGGTTGTATATATGGCTAGAAGGTTTTCTATGGGTTCCAGGTGACAGTTACTGCTCGCAATTCTCGACATATGACGTCGATGCCATCTGCGTAGGAGAGTAAAGTGTTTTGTTTGGGGTACAGAGTGCCATATCGATAACCTTTTAACTTCGTGTGACCTTTTCGAGCAGTATGTTAAATAGTTCACACAATGGGTTGTCACCTTCTCTGAATCCCCGTTCGGTGTTGAAGGGCTCCGAGAGGTCCTTTCAGACTTTAACTGGCGATCTTGGGCCAGTGAAAGTTATCCTGCATAGCCACATCAATTTTGAAAAATGCCGAACTCAGACATGACATTAAATACCTTACAGTGGAATGCGGCTTTATCTCCGCCGAATAGGTGGAATGTGTCAATGTGTTTTTCGTGGGTCTTTTCCAGGATTTGACCCATGAAAATATATGTTCTATGGTGGATTTGCCAGGTCTGAAGCCGAATTGGTATGGTTCAAAAATATCATTGACCATTAATTCCTGTCGTTCTCTCTGGATAACACCATACATTCGGTGGGAAGGAGACTAATTCCTCATTTTCGGTGCACGGGACACAGGATGCTGAGGTTCCAAGCACTGGGCATGTATTATTCTAGCCTGATTGTATTAATCAACTGGTGCATATTATTGATCAGCATTTTCCCATCGGTCTTGAATATTTCAGCTGGTTACCCATCGACACTTGCTGGTTTTTTATTCTTCAGCCGATTGTTTACTATTCTGATCTCAACTTGGATCTAAAACGTATTTTTTATTGCTTCTGGGGTATCTTCTTCACCGCCAGTATTTGGTAGCAGAAGCTTTGCCAAATGCTTCCTCCAGATCCTCAACACATTATTTGTCTCTGTCACCAGATTTCCATCTTCATTTCTGTAGGAGAATGTACCTTCAGTTTGGTGTTTTAGTCAATGGAAAATTTTCCGGGCTTCATTCTGACTCCTGAACATTTAGATTTGCTCACGTTTTGCTGTTCTTCCTTCCTTTCTTCATCAATGGAGGAAGATTTTCTGGTTCTTCTTCAAATCGTATGAAAGAAGCCATTTTGATCTTCCTTGAAAGAATAAATACTTCTATAAAAATCCTTTTCTGTCTTCAATATTCAATGGGTTTTCTATTAAGACCTTCGAGTCATCTATGGAAGATTTTCTGATCTTCTATTGAAGAAGACCTTTGACCTTCTATTACATTTTCTACTAAAATGATTACTTCTTCTATAGAAGAACTTTTGGTCTTCTGCAGAAGAATACATTTTGGTCTTCTATAGAAGAATAACTTTTGATATTCTAAGAAATGTGGTCTTCTATGAATGAAGACATTGTGGTATTTTATGGCAGAATACCTAGTGATCTTCTATGGGAGAAGAACTTCTGTTCTTGTATGGCAAAAGATCTTCTGATCTTCTATGAATAAAGACCTTGTGGTCTACTATGAATGGAGACCTTGTGGTTTTCTACGAAAGAATACTTTCTGGTATTTTATGGCAGAAGACCTTCTGGTCTTTTATGCAGAATACCTTCTGATCTTCTATGACAGAATAACTTCTGGTCTTGTATGACAGAAGATGTTCAGGTCTTCTATGGAAGAACTCTTTTTGGTCCCAATGGCAGATTTCTATGGAAGAAGACCTTATGGTCTTCTAAGGCAGAATACCTTCGTGTATTCTATGGCACAAAACCTTCTGGTCTTCCATGGCAGAATACGTTCTGATCTTCTATAGCAGAATACCCTCTGGTCTTCTAAGACAGAAGACCTTCTGATCTTCTTAGGCAGAAGACCTTCTGGTCTTCTAGAAAAGAATACCTTCTGATCTTCTAAGGCAGAATACTTCCGGGTCCTCAATGGCAGAAGGCTCCCTGGTTTTCTTGGCGACAGACCTCTGGTCATCTGTGGTGATAATCCTTCGGATCTTATATGGAATAATACCTTCTGGTATTGAAAGCGAGCCAACTTTATGGCATTTATGGCCGAAATATACCTTCTGGTCTCTGAGGCAGAAGATTAACTTGTTGTGTACTATGGAAGAAAATTTTCTGGGTTTCTATAATAGAAGGCCTTCCGGGGGGCAGACCTACTTCTACTCTTCTTCCAAAGTATGTCAAGTAGCTGGAGTAAGAAAAATATTTCTTAGAATTCTATAGAAGACTCCCTGAAATGTTTTGAACACACTCCTCTCTCCTGGAAATTCTCTCTAGTATTACGCATTGCTACTACCCAGAGGGTAGTAGCCTTACGACACTCATGCTCGGACCTTCTCTTAGATGGGGCTTCTGGCATCTGTTTGTTTGCATAAAGACGTGATCCGAATCGATATTCGCTCCTAAGGTCGATCGAAAGCCTAATACCCTGGTATAATGCCTTCCGTCTATCATAACATGATCTATTTGATTTCTCGCTGTTTGGTCGGGAGAAAGCCAGGTGGTGTCGTCTGTATCAAGATGATTGAATCAGGTGCGGTTAATTCCCATGTTTTCTGCTGCCACGCCGTCTATCAGCATCTTGTCGTTGTCAAATGTTTCCTCATGGAGACTGAATATATTTCCCCTTCCTCTTTTTGCATTAAAATCTCCTAGTAGACTTTAATGGTATGACCAGCGTGGCGTTCATATGCTATTTCTAGACGCTTCTAGAATATTTCTATGGTCTGCTTATCTTTGTATTCTGTCAGAGAATGTGCGCAAATGAGACTTCGCTTTTATCCGAGTTATACCTTTCATTCTCCTATTAAAAGCATTACCCACTTATCATGAAAACACTTCAACATACTTTATGAAATGCATAAATGTGAAGAGATCCTTAAAAATACGGAATGATGCCAAGTATGTCCATATTTAGAAGACTTTTAAATAGAAGAACCTTATGTAGCTAAAAAAGGTTTTCTATAGCTAGTAGATTCTACACAGCTAGAATAAAAGCTAGAATAATGTATAGAGGCTTTTTATAGTTAGACGGCTCGATACAAGTCTTCTATAGCTATGTTATAATTAATGGGCGACCTGAGTAGTGCCCATGTCTTACAGTTAATATACATATATATTTTATAGATATATTACCCTTTACATGTATCCTGAATCTAGAAACCCCTATAAAAAAGTTCTGTAGTCAGAGGGTCCTAGAACACATGTCAATACCTATAGCAACTTATACATAGTTTCTAATTTTTTTTTTTATCTTAACATTTCCCAATTCCCATTTCAGATCTATACATCGCGTGGTCGTAATCATCGAATACATCTACAGTTATGGGACACCGCAGGCCAGGAAAGATTTCGTTCCCTCACCACAGCCTTCTATCGCGATGCAATGGGTTTCCTGTTGATTTTCGATTTAACAAGTGAAAAATCATTTTTGGAAATATCTAATTGGCTTGAACAACTGCGACAACATGCCTACTCTGAAGATCCGGATGTTGTGCTCTGCGGCAATAAATGTGATTTACACGATTTTCGTGTAATTTCTCATGAGCAAGCCTCAGCATTGGCAGAACGTTATAAATTACCATATATAGAGACGAGTGCATGTACCGGTTATAATGTTAGTAATGCTGTAGATCTCCTCGTCGGCCGAGTAATGGAACGTATGGAAAATGCTGTAGCGAATGCCGAGTTGGCACGATTAATGTCAAATACAAGATTAAATGCGATTAATCCTCAAACATTGAGACTGGCCTTGCAAAAGGGCGAGGAACCATCGGCGACGGGAGATGGTGTTAAACAAAGTTGTAGTTGTTGAAATGGAGGGTGGTGAAATTTTGTATTTGTTTGTTCCAGAGGATAATATAATCGTCCTGTTAAACATTTAAGCTTAGTTAGAACTGCTGTTTGGTACAATAAATTTAAGTAAGTTTGATTATATTTTTATTATTATTTTTTTGTAGAATTGTATACATAACCCTACACATAAATGTGTGTGTTTGTTTGTCATGCTTTTTAACAAAAAAATTATAATAACACAGTGACACATTTTTCAACTTTAAAATCTTGAACCAATCGAGACCCCCAAAATCTTGAAGCTTGTGATGGTGGAAGAAAATCCCTAGCTGGGTTTTGCTTTATTAGCTAAGGATTTCTTTTAAATTAATTTTTAAAATATTCGACTGGGGCGGATTTTAGCACAATTTTCGAATAATACGTACTTATTATTGAGTCTATATCTCGTGAACTATTCGAAATATTGCTTTTCTCTCTTAAGCAATATTTTTCCTCTTAATTAGGTCTACAAATTTTCTCTTGAGATAAAATCAATAAAACAACAACATCATACTGAGAATAGCACAACTTCAAAAAAAATTAAAATTTAGACATACTTTTTCCATGTTTTTCACACTTATTTCAGAAACTGCTACTGACTCGGACAAAAAATATATGACAAAAAGATAGATCAAACAACTCTTCTTAAAACCCCGATTTCATTGGTTGACTCCTTCACATAGTTATAGCCTCACAAATTCATCAAAATGAACCAAAGAAATTCACTCCCAATTGTATGTTTATTGAAATTAAAATTGCTATGCTTTTTTCAATAAATAGGTACAAAATTGAAGTAAAAATTAAACATGGAAAAAGTAAGTCGAAATTTTAATTTTCTTGCAGTTGTGCTATTTTCAGTATGATGGTGTTGTTTTATTGCTTTTATCTCAAAAGAAAATTTTTAGATCTAATTAAGAGGAAAAATATTGCTTAAGAGAGAAAAGCAATATTTCGAATAGTTTACGAGATATAGATATAGTATTATTCGAAAATTGTGCTAAAATCCACCCCCAGTCGAATATTTTAAAAATTAATTTAAAAAAAAAACTTAGCTAATAATGCAAAACCCAGCTAGGGATTTTCTTCCACCATCACAAGCTTCAAGATTTTGGGGGTCTCGATTGGTTCAAGATTTTAGTGCTGCACAGTGTAATCAAACAAACATAAATAACCTACGTATATTATAAAATAATGCTCAATGATTTTTATAATTGAATGTTTGTTAATAAACTATGTAGATATTTTGTATTTGTAATCAGTATAAAAATATAAATATATATTTGTTTACTAATTATTAATTGTACAATTTTTTAATATACGATTGGGAGGAATAAAGAAATATCTCGAATTAAGCTATGTTACCGGATTTTTATAACCCGTGTTTGCATATTATTGGTAGTAGTTGGTTGCTAGTTTATGTGATCTAATCTAGAGATATGATATGTATATTAATTTTTATTATTTTGTCCATCAGAATAACTGCTGCTTTCTCACTCCGATGGAGGTTTTTATGGTTGGTATTAAAAAGTCCGATTTTTGTATATTGCCATAACATTATCGGTTTAATACAGAGATTCAATTTCTACCAATCCCTATTTCTTGGTTAAGTCCGATTTTTATATTATCACATGGCATAATTACAGAAGGTACCAACCATTTTTAATTTGGAACTCATCTATCAATTTTAAATTTTGAAATACTGTCAAAGGCAAATTTATGAAAAAATTGAAAACATATGGTTGCATGCGACTACCTTGTATAATTATGCCATGTATTATCATTAAATATTTTTTCCATCAAAATCATTGTTGCCATCTCACTCCGATGAAGGTGTTTTTGGATTATCTTAATCGATTTCTCTCAGATTGTAGCCTGTGCTATATTATTCGGTTTATATGGTTTAGTCCAGAGACTTTATTTTAACAGTCTATGGTTCCTGGATTAGCCTATGTGTATACGATATTTTATTATTTTATTCAATCAGAACCAATATTGCCGTCTTACTTCAATTAATTCCTCTCCGGGTGACTTCGGTTTCGGGGTTTCTTGGGAGTAGAAGATCTTCTCTTCGACTCTCTAACATTTCTTATTGGGTGTTTCTCCCTCACTGTATTGGCTTAATCTTCTACGAGCATGACCTTTCCAATCCCGAAGAAGACTGCGTTGGTCAAGTAGAACACTTTACTCTTAATCTTGACCAAATTTGCCATCGAAGACATGTCTATGCCTACCGCACCAGGAGTGTATTGTTTTTTAGACCAAAGACTTCGAGCATGTGTTTTGTTGTTATTTTGCTACCACATCCCAAGTCCCATCTCCCTGTGCATGACTTCGTACTTCTTCGCCTGTTGTATATTTTTCGCTCTTATTCTCCAGCAGTGTATTGTTGTATAGACCAAAAACTTCGGGTATGCTGTTCTAATATTGCTGCTCATTCTCTGGCTAGGACTCTTAATTTTTGAAGTTGAGAAAAAACATTCATCCTCATTACATTGACTTTAATTGTCACACAATTCTACCTACCAGTTTCCGCATGTTTTCTAGCATTAAATATTCCCGTGTAAACTCACAGATAGACAGGGTATCCTTCTTGCAGTAGATAATCCACGATCTTGTTGTTAACCGCATCCAAAACCTCCTTGTGGTTCTCCTAGCGTAACAGGGCTTGTCTCTGCGGTGCTTCCTGATTAGGTTCTCATAAAATGACAATCTTCGACTTACGTGCTGTCCGGTTGGTTCTTTTTGGGATTCGCGGATTTTACAAACGATCCCGCTCGTTTATTAATACTAGAGCCAATTTTCTGCCCCCAGTTGATGTTTTTCGTGGCAGAAGACCCCAGTCGGGGCTGTTGAAGTCCTATGTAGATTCTTCTAGTTGGAGAATAGCTATAGAGGACTTGAATCAAAACTTCTATCTATTGAATAATTGTAGTTTTTGTAGCTAAAGAATATATAAAAAAGTCCCTGTAGTATAGGGTTTTACCACTATAAAGGACCCATATCGGGTCTTCATACTATTGAAGACCTGTACAGGTTCTTCTAGCTTTAAAAGACCCGCTACAGTTATACTCGCTGTATGGGTATAGGATATTCTAGCCATAAAAATATCTTCTAAAAACCTATATCACGTGATCTACTTTAATAACCCCTATGTTGGCTCTTCTACCCATAGAAGTATAAATATTCAACCTAAAGAAGTTCCGCAAATATTTCACAATGAGTTCAAAATAAAAAACGAAATTTTTATTTCCTTCCTTAATTATATTCTAACTTCACAGGTTTCCTTGGTGGCTAATTTCTCAGCATATAACTTCATGGGCTTTTCAGTTTCAGGACGAAAATGCCGAATCAAATCTTAAGGAGGCCATCATCGAAATCACATATTGTATCTCTCTGTATCAGTTGGGGGGCATTTGTTTATTCTACCGGACACCTAATCCTCTTCCCCGCTTCCGAAAAGTGAACTGAATGTCAGGCTCATCCTTACAGATAACAGTTTGCAGGGCGCTCTTGTTTCTACGGTTCATCCTGGCCCTTTTTTAGCTCTGCTCTTTTGCTCTTTTCCTATTTTTGACACTACAAGAGTTTGTAAGATATATCTATCTATCGATCGACCTGTGTATATCTGTCCATTATAGTTGAAGTACAGACCGATTCCTTTTATAGACGATGCTTTTGGGAGAATTAAAAGAATGTAACGTGTGCACATCATGCTGAGCAAACATTCATCAGATTCCGAATGCAGGAAAGTTGAAAACAGGAATTATGGAGAGCTCCCAGTTTCACTATAAGCATTTGGACTTCTTGATCCGAAACTCCACGTACGACTGATGTTCAGACATATAATTGATTATCCGAAGTTTAAAACATGATCGGAGGGAAGTGTTCTCGATGTCCTTAAACAATATGGCACGATTGATAGGTCAAGCGCTACCAATATCGTTCTATACGACAGTGTATAAGTTTGACTTGCACGATTCACATTTTCTGCCTCCTTACCTGGCTTCCTTAACGGGGAAGCCATCCGGTTTCGGGAAAGATGTGAATGATAATTAAGAAATGACTTATTCTGATATTCGACTCCTGGCTCATCCCGCTGTTTCAGCATTACTCTAAAGATTCCATCAGCGCCCTATTCATATTTGACCTCATCCCACTATATAGTTTAAATTTTTATTATGTGAAAATATCTTTTGTTTAATTCAGACAAAAGAAAGTCTCTGAATTTTGGTATCAGTATAATTTTTACTCAAATAAGATGCACGTTTTTAATCATGCACCAATGATTGTTGACATATCGATGATAAGATCATCTCTTTCAAACGAAGTTCAAGGTAGTGTTATTAAAAAAATCGATATTTCGTTTTTAATTTGTAATCTTATCTGCATCCGGACCAACTGACTAATTCTGTCTATATTCTATATTATTTTGAAAGAAAAAATATATAAGTATGTTTTGTGCAAAGATGTGGTATAGGTTGAACGATGGACCTATAATTCTCAAACATATTGAATATTTGGGTGTATAAAAGATTTTTCAACTTTTGGAAAATGCAACACCTTCTAAATGTAGATAATCGTGTAGATATTTGAGTTCTATTTCAAAACAATTATGTGCAGTGGATAGAGTACCAGTTAACAAACCAAAGGGTTCGAATCTTAGCGATGAAGATTTTTTTTCAAACGTGATTTTTTAATATTTGTAAATAATGTTGTAATAACCAATCTCGACATAAACACATGGATATAACACAAAATAGCTGGAGCTAGCGACACCAAGAGGAAAATGACAACACTTAACAAGCAAGAAAGCCAACCAGTGTACAAAATTCAAGGAGGCGTTTTTCTATGCTACGATAGATGACATCACTCATCACTGAGAACAGACAATAACAGACCAATCATCTACTTAGTGGCTAGCGCCACCAAGAGGAAAATGGCAATACTTAACAAGCAAGGACTCAAACCATTGCACAAAATTGAAGGAGGCGTTGTTTCTATGAACTATAGATGTCATCATGTCATCACATAGAACAGACAATATCAGTCCATTTATCTACTTAGATAAAATACAAATAATGAAATGATTAACGATGGGGACGATAGTAATGCTTTGTAGAAGCGCTATGCTCGTCACAGGAGTAACAGGTGGAACAAATATCAAAATATAGATATATTGCAGTTATCTTCAAGGAAGTTGGATGGATATGATTTTGGAGACGAATAACACTTCAGGTAATAGTTATTATAAGTCAATAAAAACCTTATCATTAATAAATTATTGAGTATATTTTATCTTAAACGTCTAATTAAATTATAAACAATTTACAAATCCTAATACTACAGCTAAAATTATGCTAAATATGCTTAAAGATCGGCCCATAGCTGCATTGCGTTCCATAATCCATTTATAGTAATACTGGACATCGGCATAGACACCTACAAAATATATAAACCAATATTAAATAGAAATCACTAATATTTATATAAATTAATGTCTTACCCGGAAAACCAGGTTGGGCACAACCTGAACCCCATGACACCACACCCACTAGAGTGTTATTGTAAACCAGTGGACCACCAGAATCACCTTGACATGAATCAGTGCCACCACGAAGATGACCCGCACATAACATACCATTCAAAATGCCATTGTTATAGGAAATGGAACACACCGTTTTCGATATGGTTGTGACATTGGCCGTGAGCAGAATTGGCGATAGGGAACCCTAAACATTTACAGAAGAGAACTTTTAATGATAAGATTTTTTTTACTTTGATTTATTTTAGCTTACCCTTTCCGTTTTACCCCAACCCGATACCTGACACACCACACCCGTTGGTGTTGACGCATTGGCAAGTTTAATCGGTTCCACTGTCAAATGGGTCTTATTTGCCGGTAAACCAGTTTTCAAAAACATCAAACCAACGTCATCGCGCATTGTATCCATGCTGAAGGTGTTCATATAGGCAATCGATTTGACATCGGAAACAATTGTGCCATTGACACGTTCAAAACGATTCAAGGCACCCAAGACAACAACAAATTCGTTTGGTTTGCGATAACGTTTTTTCTCACTACTACAAAGGGGAGAGAGAGAGAGAGAGAGACGAGAGAGGAGAGGGAAAGAAATGAAGGTTATATGTTTTGGTGTCAAAAAACTATATTTATTACAATGTAATTACGAAAAGGTGACAATCCAAAAACATAAATAATAAAATTGATTATCACACTGTCTGTGCCGAAAAAGCAGAGATCTTTCGTCATCGCCACTTACTTGTATAGACAATGTGCAGCTGTTAGCACTTTATTAGGACCAATCAGGGATCCACCACAGATATGACCACTGCCAAAACTACTTTCATAACGTTTCAATCGTATAGAGACCACATATTTAGTGTTACCCGCCACAGCTTGGGTGCCATTGATAATACGAGGGTCAGCCAATGTTGATGAGATAAAGAATAAAGCTAAAAGAAGAAGTAAAATGAAATATTAAGTTGGATTTTTGTTAATTTCATATACATAGGTATAAAATATTGTATCGTAAAAACATTTGACAAGTGGTATAAATATTTCATGAGAGACTTGTAAGCATTTCTTAAGAAGATATATGGATCGTAGGCTCTAGACTCGGATTTGACCGTCCTAATTTGCTCAAGTGGAAGAGTTTTTTTTTTGGAATTGTCTTGTCTGCGAAAACCACACGATCGATTGTAACACATGGGCGTACATCAAACCGTACTGAGTATTATTATTGCCTTACAGGAAATGCCATGGAAATGGACAGTAGTAAATAAATCAGACGATTGTGCACTGTATTATAGCTGCCATGAAACAAGACATGAATTTAGCTGCGGATTTATGGTTAACAGGAGAATAAAATACCTCGTCTACAGATTCACACTAGTACATGAGCGAATTGCTATAATCCGTATAAAAGCGGATGAAGAAACATCTGACAATCGCATGGAGTTGATTGATTTCGCGGGAGCAAAAATATGGTAGTTAGCAGCATCTTGATATACACAAGGACACCTGGATTTCTCCCGATCAAATCGATAATGTTGTGATAGGCGGAAGGCATACATTCAGTGGAGTGAATATCCATTCGGACCACTACCATTGTTAAATATTGTGAATTATGCAATTGGCAACACATATATTTTATCTTATTTAGTGATCCCTAAGTTTATCAATTACAATATGATGTATAAGTAATTTATGGTTACTTTGAATAGAGATTGATATTGACATAAGTAATCATCAGAATAATCTAGAATAAGCAACGCGTAAATAAAATAAATTGTAACAGAGAATTGTGGTCTCAATTGTTAAGTATTGTCTCAGTTGTTAACGACCGTCTCAGTTGTTACCGATCGTCTCAGTTCTTAAGTATAAGCTCAGTCAGTAACGTTGTCCCCTCAGGTTGATAAGTTTGAAGTGCTGTAAATAAAGTTTAACAAGCCCCCGTATTGAGACTGTGTTCAATTTCTGGGGAAATCACTGGACCATTAAGAAATAATTTTCAACAACCTTGTAGTAGCCAAGGTTCGCACTCGTCTTAATGTAGCAGCAATGTTGGGAATAACACAACACCGAAACTCGACGTCGAAAAACGGCAAACACAGCAGGTAGCAGAAGCCTACTCCGCTCAACTTACCCACCTGCTTGACGAAAGCACTCCTTGTCTCGATAATAATATAGAAGCACAATGGCAAATTGCCAAATTCCTACAAACTGCAGCAAAGGCAACAATTGGGTACCAAAAACCACCATCAAGATCAGGAGTGTCGTAATGCTACTCAGGGATGGACTGTGTGACGAATTTTTAGGTTTTCGACTGTCAAAAAGGTGTAAACGTCGAAAAGGTCATATACCTGTATGAAATGTAATAAATGTATTAAACGTCATTTATTTCAATATTATCAGCATATACAATTATTTTCAAGAAAATATATTATTTTTATATACATATATCTGACTATACATTCCTAGAACTGAAAAAAATGTCTAAATTTTTTTGAGAAGAAAATTTTTAAATTTTATACTAATTTGAGTAAAGCATGCGTAATTTCCGAATTGATTAATGGAAATGGCCATTTTGTCAAAAACCTAATGGATTTGGGTAGGTTTCCGACGTTTCTGACGTATGTTTTATACGTCGGAAATGTATGTCATTTACGTCATTGTTTCTGACAGGCCATTTCTGATGCTACTGGTATGAAAAACGCAGCGTAACCCTGCTGGCAGTAGCAACACGTATTGCGAGAGAGAGAATTATCGGGAGAAAAGGAGAAACGTATTTTCAGAAAAAAGAATCGAGATGTAGAGGAGACATAACGAAGTCCGGAAATATTACCAACGAGTAAAACACCAAAACCAAGGCAGGCACATTCTCCTGTAGAGATGAAGAAGGAAACCTGGTGACAGATACAGACAGCGTGCTGAGGCTAAAGGAATGCCTGGCTAGAGGAATGCATGTCCAATAATTGTAACCTCAGCATCCTGTGTCCCGTACACAAAAAAGGGCACATGACGATATTAGCTGTATGAACGACTGAAGCCAATGGTCAATGATATTATTTGATCGTATCAATGCGGCTTCAGACCTGGCAAATTCACCATTGACCAGATTTTCACTCTGCAATCGACCTATTTGTCGACTACAAAGCCGCATTCGACAGCCCAATCCGCTCAGAGATGTTTAATGCCATGGTTGCGTTCGACATTCCTGCGAAACTAATACAGCAATGCAGGATAACTAAAACTGGCACAAGATCAGCAGTTAAAGTAGGAAAGGACCTCTCGGATCCCTTCGATACCCCTTTGAACGAATGCCAAAGTGGGACTGGCAGTAAATGGCGAGAAGACCAAGCTGATGGTATCAACGCGCAAGACGTCCAGTAGACTCGGACCAACTGTGGAACTTGAAAATTACAGCTTCGAGCTGGTGAAAGATTTTATATACCTAGGTACCGCCATAAACAAAACTAATAACATCAGCTTTGAAATCCGGAGAAGAATAGTGTCGGTCAACAGATGCTACTATGGTCTGAGTAAGCATATTTCGAGAGTTCCGTTTTGATTTTTCTACTATAATCTTTTTCAATATTTTCTTACGCATTTTTCATGCATAATATATACTTATAGGTTTGTTGGGTAAAAATCAAAGAATTTTATGCGGTTTTCGTATCAATAAAACCCAATCCTCCCTAATGCACACCATTATCTATGTAAATGTTCTGTTTTTATTGTACTATAAACAAGAAATGATTCAGACATTTTATCTGAAAATGTTTCGATGATAACGACAATGATGAAAAGAATTTCGTTTTGTTTTGACGATACGATTGATTATTAAACATCAATTAATAATACCTTAGTTTCAAAAAAATATTTCATTACCATGAAATGACATTGGAATCTCCATAAGTATGTGTCAGTATATACATATGTATATGATTCATAATTAATCGGAAAAAATACAAAATTAATTATAATTGTATGAATTAAAAAAAGGGAAGGGTCGTAAACCACACCAATGATTTAAGAACACACACCATTATTATATGGACAGCAAGATTTGCTGTGATTCAAACCTCGGGTAATTGTATTGTACCATAGAGTGGAAATTACCGCTGCCAAACAACCAGAGTGAAACATGGAGCAAGGTTGGACAATTTCTCCTGATCTGTTCAACCTATACCGAACTATTCAAGACCGGTGGTCAGATCCTGTTCAGGAGCTTACACCAGCTGATTAGTTCAATTTTGCATCATGTGCCCCATGCACAAAAAAGGAAACAAGACAATATGTGCCAACCAAAGAGGAATAAGTTTCCTTCCCATGGCATATAAAGTGCCATCCAGCGTGCTGTGTGAACGACTGAAGCCAATGCTCAATGACATTATTGGACCATACCAATGCGGATTCAACCCTGGCAAATCCACCATTGACCAGATTTTCACTCTGCGCCAGATCCTGAAAACTTCCTACGAAAAAGCATCGACACATTCCACCGATTGGTCGACTATAAAGCCGTATTCGACAGTCCTATCCGTGTTTAAAGCCATGTCTATGTTCGACATTCCTGCAAAATAAATAGGGCTATGCAGGATAACTTTAGTCTGCAGTTAAAGTCGAAAAATACATACCGGAGCCCTTTATACCGAACGAGGATTCAGACAATGTGACAGTTTGTCGTGTGATCTTTTTAACATCCTGCTGGAAAAGGAAAGCGGTAACAGCCACCTTTGAACTAATTGAGAAGGAGTGTGCCAAAGCAGGACTGGCAGTAAATGGCGGGAAGATCAAGCTGATGGTATCAACACGCAAGACGTCCAGTAGACTCGGACCAACTGTGGAACTTGAGAACTACAGCTTCGAGGTAGTCAACGATTTTATATACCTTGGTACCGCCATAAATAAAACTAAAGACATCAGTTTTGAAATTCGGAGTGTTGGCCAACAGATGCTACTATGGTATAAGTAAGCAATTCAGAAAAAAGGCCACCTCTCGCCAGACCAAACTCACACTCTACAAGACGCTGATACTACCCTTGCTGTTGTATGGATCAGAAGCATGGATACTTGCACAAGCAGGTGAGCAGCTCTTGAAGTGTTTAAGAGAAAAATTATCCGAATGATCTATGGGCCGATCTGCGTCGACCATCTATTCTCGAACATCCACATAGCCAGACTTATCGAGCTGCAGCGTCTACGTTGGCTAGGCCATGTTGTGAGGATGGTTGAGGATGTCCCAGCTCAAAAGACATATAAAAGCGAGCCAACTGATGTATTATATAGAAGGGAAAAGCCACTAATTCGATGGATAGATCAAGTGGGAGACAACATCTCGGAACATGGTATTTCAAATTGGAAAAGCTGTCCACAAGATCGATGCGCCTCGAAATCTTTTTTAAGCTCGGCTTATAGAACAAATATTTTGTAACAAACCAGCTAAGAAGTAAGTAGAGACACACTATACGTTTCACCTATTCTCATGTCTACAAATGTTTAGTGTAGAGATTTAAACATTCCTGAATTTGGATACCGATGTGCGAGAACTTTTCTCCCTTGGAGTCAAATTTATGTTCATTGCGCATTGAAAACCGTCGAAATTTGAAATCGAGAATTACTAAAGCACGACTTATTTTAAGGTAAGTTAAATATTGAAAATTTTAAATTTTCTAACCGGGGTTTCAAGGTAATATGTTCTAAAAATATCAATGGCGAACCGAAGACATTATTTGACACCGACAATTTCACAATTTTCGGACTTCCAACTCAAACATGTTTTTGTCCCAAAAATATGCATGTTGGGCCGATTTTCACATTTTTTACTTATCTAAAATTATATCAAATGCCACAATGATTTCATTTTATATTCCTCTAATGTACGTATTATTTTGCGATTTCTAAAAAATAATTTTTAAAGAGAAATTTGTTATCTTAGAATCCATTCACGCAATTAATATTTCTTCAATTTAAAATTATACTACGTATGTATGTCACTTATCACACTGAAACCTTCACATACTTATTCCGCACAGTAAAATGCATAAATTGACAAATTTCCACATTTTATTTGTTTATTCGATTTTGCGATTTGTTTTCCGAAATATTTCAAAATTTATTGCACACCAATAAATATCGCTTTTTTCTTCGTTTGAGCAACCGAACAGTATACTTTGCTTTTCGATTTTAGACTAATGGTTCCAATCAGTAAACGTTAAATATTGGTTTGGTTTTTTTTTTTGTTTTGCCACCAGATGCCAGAATATTGATATGATAAGGTTCGAAAACTAATCAATGGTTGAACATCCTCGTCGTATATCAACCAAGAACACATTGAAATCTTATCTTGGTATTTGTTCTTCTCGCTTTTGGAGCGGCGAGAGAGAAATGCTCTTTGGAGAATTGAAGCCCGTGAAAAGTTATAATTTTCTGATTCATATGATGAAATGGGATGGGATTTTCTAAAAGGGGCTAGGTAGGTATTCCCCTTTTTGTTGGCGTTAACTCTTTATCGGTAAGATTAGCAAATGTTGTCTACACCCTACATAAGTATTGTTGTTATGATATGACGTTGATTTGCTGCTAATAATTATACGATTTTGAAATGTTTATTCAAACACCATTTATGTTTACTTGAGTTCGAAACGATCACGGAAAGTTGATATATAATGCCTAATGCGTCGTCAAAAAAATCAATATTTACCTAAAATTCATTAATTTCCAGTTGCTTAGCTTCAATACAACAATTTTTTGAATTTCCATAAATTTCTAAGTTCGCATTACTATAATGTTTATTTTATTGAAATAGATAGAAACTACAGAATTTCCCCCACCCCTTAGTGAAAGTTTCATGCAAATATATCCATTCGTTACGGAGTTATAGCCATTTGAAGTTGACCCCGAGTAAAAATATAGCGGCTACACGATTCTGTTTGCCTAATACCACAAATGCCGAAATTGCTAGTTGACAAAAACCGAAAAATCCATGCAAATAGCTGTGAGTGTGTGTGTAGCCCCCATTTGTGTTTTTGATGTTTGTTAGTTTACAAATTCTGAGCATACTTTTAGGCGTTACATTAAAAACCCACTGCATTGATATTTTAAATGTAATCTATTGAATTGAAGCGCCTGAAAGTATGCTAAAAATATATTTCTCTAACTTACATATGGCACAAGCACACGATCTGGCAACACAGCCAGCCGCATTATTCTGGGTTTTTATCAAATGCAAATTCTTCATTTTTCCCATTTGAGGTAATAGGCAAACAGAATCGCGTAGCTGCAATATTTTGACACAAGGTCAACTTCAAATGGCTATAACTCAGAAAATAATGGATGTATTTTCATGAAACTTTCTCCAGTGGTTAGAGGAGATTCTGTAGATTTTATAAGGAAAAGTGTGCACAACTAATAATAAATTCATGTAAATATGAAAAGATGTTGTCTTGACTTTCAATTGCTGGAAATTGGCGATGTTTGGGAAAATTTGCTTTCTACAGCCTCTACCATACGTTGGAGTGTATATAAAATCTGTCATGTGCACCGGGGACCCCACAAAGCGTATAAATTCTTGTTCAGAATAAAATTATATGTCGATTTAGCAATCCGTCCTTCTGTCTGTTAACATCTCGATAGTGCTTCCAATATTTAAAATAGAACTATGAAGTGTTGCACATACTAAATTTTGACTACTCCTAGGATGTTTTGGTATTGAAAATGGTATATAGGTCAACGTTTTGGTACAGGCCTCATATAAGGGTAAATGCGAATATTCGGTATTTTTATACCCTCAACGCGATGGATAATGATATGGTGAAATTGTGCCCCATGGAAATATTGATATTAGATCCCATATATCTTTGGACCAAATCCGTTTCAGACAATTTGGACTCGATTTACAAATTTCTGTCAGTCTGGCCGGCTGGTGCGCACTATAACTCTCAAAGGGTGTAACTGAGTTCATCCACATTTTGTACATCTTAATATTTCCTCCAAACTTAGTCTAAGTTAATAAATGGGAATATCGGTCCACTCCTTCTGGTACCTCCCCCACAAAATGGTCAAAATTATGCTGATTATTATAATTTTCCCCAAACATTGCTAAACCTATTATCTTTACCTAGCCTAGATCAAAACCGAAAATGAGACTCATTGATCCACTCCTTCTGGTATCTCCCCCGCAAAGGGACACTTTCATATAGGAATGTCAAAATTGTCAATATTTATAAATTCAATATCAAGCGAATGGAATGTCCGATTTGAATTTCAGTCAAATCGAAAGATGAATATTTTTTAAATAAAACGAAATTTTTTGGCCTTCCACTATTGTCGCTCATAAGATTTTAGATACGCTGCCAAAGACTAGAAATCAATATGCATAGGTTTTCATCGTCCAAATCAAAAAATCTTTTATTAAAAAAAACTAGAAAATATTTAATATTTTCCCATTTACCTACCTTTAAGTAATCGAAAGAAAAAATTTTGATATTTTTTTGGTACAATTACGACATAAAAGTGTATAATTATTATTTATTATTGTATAAAAAAATCGAAGATATTGTAAAAAATTAAAAACTTATTCGAGAATGCCAAATAATATTGTGGACGGATTATATAAAAAAGTTATATATTTTTGTGTGGTAAATACAAATACGATATGTTGTTGTATTGCGCCAACAAAAGGTGTTGCAGTTTAAAATATATGTTTCAACTACAATACTAAGGCACTTTTTTGTAGGTATTGTTTTTGTTGTTGTTGATGTTAATAATGTAATGTATAAAATAAATTGGACGGTTTGTATAAAACTGTTGTTTCTTGTTGTTATAAGAACAAAACATGAGATTCGAATATTAGTTTCGAGTTTTGTCAATAAAATAAACAAAATATATAAGCTAAACATAAACATTGACAAACAAATGCTAATTATGGAATGTATGCTGCTGATAAGTAAGTCAGAAAATATAGACAATGAAAGTATTGACTTGTCTTCCTCCTGCCTATATATAACCATGCAGACTTCTTGATGTACTATGATGATGACGGTCAGCGTGATAACCCGGCTCCTGCATTTCCATTTGCATTACCAAATTCTTTTGTTCACCGCGCATTTCGTAGGCCTCACGCGCTTCGCGATGGAAGATCAATGCAGCCATGCCCAACAGAATGAATGTGACAACAGCCAAGGCATATGACCAGCCGAGTACATTAAATTTCGGATACATTAGCCAGTCACGACGATAGGCACAGCCGCCAAATATACAAACGGCCAAGAACATGAAGACAGCTGTAATGAAGAGTAAGAATTTTATTTTAAATTTTAATAGAATATTATCGAAATAAACTTACATGATATTGTTGTTCCAAAATAGGAGATGCGAACCAATAACCATTCATATTGCAAAACAAATTTCAATGGTAGACGAATAATTGTTAACGCCAATATAACCAATATTATGAAAACAATAATGAATGATAATGTAACAAATGCTTGTACAGCCATCAACCAGCCGGGTAGAAGCCATTCACGAATTACATAGTATTCCTGAAATAAATTAAGAAAATAATATTTATAAAATTTCAAAATAAAATTATTTTAAATAAACAAATTAAATAAACATTTTATTAATTAGAAATACTCTTTGAGTCATAATCTAAGATGGTCGGATTTTTAATGGCAAAATTATATCAAATTAGGATGCATCTGAAAAAAAGATCATTGGAATAGACTTATACAACAATCTAAGCCGACTATTTTGGTCTTAAGATAATTATAAGACATTTCCTGGGAGAAAAGGGACGTACAGACAATCGGTCGCTCTATCTCCATTAATGACGTACTTGTTTGGACACCCTCTCTGAGTGACACAAAATGAGAGTCCTATAAATACGGGGTTTTGGACATGACAAAAAAGGTTCCTTGTAAGGTGTGAATCGATTTTGTCAGATAATCAACTCCGACCTCGTCCAGCTGTTCCATCATAACCATCGATATTCCGCCAGGGCTCAAAGCATTAGATGACTGCGCTAGGGATGACACATGCAAACTGTGGTGGTACCTCCACGACAGGAAGAGATCTTATACGACGTATTACTCTTCGCCCCATCGCTCTCGTGATGCTCGACTACCTGTCGGTTAAAATATCTTGCGTATCTCTTCGGATCAGTAACAATTTCTTCGTTCAATGTGACTGAGGACTTATCACCCTTCTTAACAAGGTCCGAGACAGCTTAACCATTGCCCACGGTTTACTCGGTTCCCATGTTACAACTCTTCTGATTCTCTAACATTTATTCTCGACGGAGCTCATCACTCTCATTTGCTAGACCAATTGCCTCTGCTGTGAAATTAGGTCTCATCTGAGATATTCGACCAGCAGGTATAAATCTTGCGGTTGCAGCTGCAATGTTGTCCCGGAATTTAATGGAACGTTTTCTGAAGCATTGATTGTTGAACTATCTGAATCCTTGACAGTTGGCTTTCCTAGGTTAAGGAAAGCGCGGCGTTCAGAGGTGATAAAATTGGACGACCAAAGAGAAATTACGGTCTGACAGTTGACGTTATTTATAAGACCAAGTTACACAATGTATTTGTCTGGCGAACGGTTACACTCTCCCCTTATTCTGGTGGGGGCATCATCATTTACCGCGCAGAACGTGGAACTATCAATTTTCTTTGGCAGCACGGTCTCTTCTAGTCATTACGTAGGAAGGAATGCCAAAACTCAGGTGAGTAGACGGTTATTGTCCTCCAATAGAAAGCCTCTGTTAGGCAAACAACGCGGTTCGCAGCTATTAATCAGCTGTATATACACGTTTAGCACCTTTACTTCCGCAGTACCACATTACACTGCTACCCCTATATATTCAATGTATCGGTCACTAGAGTCTAGTTCAAGCGAGATAGGTTTGTATTGAACAGAGTGGGGCATAAGGAATGCTAGGCCCCCACCTTCACTTCAGGCGCAATCCTTTTTCAAATCGTTGCAACCACTTTTCTTTGAGATTGGTTTCCTGCACCACTGTAACCAAGATATTCGTCTGATTCATGAACGCCACTATCCATACTATCTATTTTTCCTTGAAAACTGTTGTAATTAAATTTCAGAAATGATGCACTATCAGGAGTAGGAACAGCAACGTGCGGTGTTAGAGCTGCTGTTGAAGAAACTGCGGTGAAGTTTCGTACTCCGAAGAAGATTACGTCGTGGACGTTGCGTTCGCTGTAGTCTAGCAATTGAGTCAAACCGAAATATTTCCTGAAGTGCACCCATTACATCTCCCCGAAACTGACCGGGGATATGTTCGATCTCGGCACGAACTAAAGGAATCCGGCATATGCTGCTCCCAAAACAGAAAAACAATACAAAAACATAAATAACTGGGTAATTATACATAGGTATAATTCATGCTTATGTCGGGCATGTGACTGAAGTTAAATCTGCCCTTAAAGTTCACTCATTCTGAAAACATTATTCTTCCATTTTGTCTTCTTTTCAGGTTTCGAGAACTATGTGGGTAGCATACGACAAATTGATAGCTGATATCAAATATGTAAACGGTAATTTAGTCGTACTCCTAGAAAATATTGCCATAACATAGATAATTCAAGTTCATGTTGAAGTAACTGCAGTCTTCTCTGTAAGTTTATATCCTTAACTTTTGAAGGAAACCAAATTATAATTTCATTACGAAGTCCATTGCCGCTGGCGTACAATAAAAGCACATTAGAAACTCTTGTACACTATAGTACTACATCGATTTGTGCTAGGATGGATATTTTCACACATAAAAAATATAACAGCCATAACATATTTTCAAAACATTACACAACATACTGATTATAGTTATACTACACTTCACTTCTTCAAATTTTTTAAGTTCCTAATCCCTGTCATTTCCATTCTAGTCTAAATTACTTTACTTGCTTAAACTTTGGACACACTATCATCACAACTACAATGTGGTGTAATCTATAATTAAAATTCCATTAACTAGGACATTCAATAGGGAACGACATTTGACGTAATTAATCCAATTAACTTAAATTCTAACCGCTATGACCTAATCTAATTCTAAAACAAAATAAACGTGCTGTAATAAAATATATAACTTACATAGCTGAAAATGTTGTGGCAACCATTAAATTTACGTGGTATTTGGTAGTTGGGATATGTGAAGTCTTTAAAACAATATTGCCACAAGCCCATATTCTTAAAGCTGCTTAGTGTCTCCTCGTACGATTCAATCCAATAGGGTGAACAGAACGACATCATCATAAAGAAATAACCAACAAAGGTTATTATGGCTCCAAAGACCACACCATCTGAAATAGAGAAAGAAGATAAAAACACATTTAGTAATTAAAGAAAAACGACAAAATATATAAAACCACTTGTTGGAAGAGGGAAGGATGGTTCACTTTTTTAGATCAAAATACCAAGAATGTTCCCATTTTCCAATTGCCTTAAAGATGTCTTCTAAATATAGTGTCACTCCCTAAATTGTTTTGTTTTCATTTGCTGTCGGCGCCGCAGCCACATTTACACAAACAAAATTCAATGGGGGCTGGCTTGACTCTTGACTCACTTGTGGCACGAGGGTAATCATTCTTTTCCACTCCATTATCGGTGGTATCTGTCGATTGTTGTTTACGAAAATTATGCATTTTCTTTCGTCGTTTGTTGTTTCTATTTATTTAAATAAATAATCACTAATTTTTATTGGAAAAACATTAATAAAAAGTGTATAGTTTTGGAATGTTTCGTTGCGCTCAAAAGAAAATTAAGACTCAGCAGCGTCGTGAAATGTCAAAAGAGTGAAGAAGAAAAACAACACCCTAAATACAGTGTTGTTGTATGTGGGTACTTTTTCGTTTTGTGTTGCTACTAAAAATGCAACACTGTTGGTGTAGTGAGGCAGTGTATGATATTCAAACTGTAAATTATGCAGTTTATAATTAGCTTGATTTGAATTTAAAAATTAAATAAAAAAATATATATAATAAATATAAGGGTGTGGATTTGTGGGGTGAAATTTGTAAAAAATATTTCAATTACTTCTAATAAACGTGGATTTTTAAAAGTATTTTTTTAATGTCTATTATTAGGAGTGGATCTTTAAAATTATTTTTTAATGTCTATTATTAGGAGTCACTATCACTAATCGTGGATATTTTTAATAGAATCAAGGACTATCATTAGCGTGATTTTTTTAAAATAGACTCAAGGACTATCACTAAGCGTGGATTTTTTTTAAAAATAGATGCAGGACTATCACTAAGCGTGGATTTTTTTAAATAGACTAAGCGTGGATTTTTTAAAAATAGACTAAGCGTGGATTTTTTTTTTAAATAGACTAAGCGTGGATTTTTTTTAAATAGACTAAGCTTGGATTTTTTAAAAATAGACTAAGCGTGGATTTTTTTAAATAGACTCAAAGACTATCACTAAGCGTGGATTTTTTTAATAGACTCAAGGGCTATCACTAAGCGTGGATTTTTTTAATAGACTCAAGGGCTATCACTAAGCTTTTTTTAATAGACTCAAGGACTATCACTAAGCTTATTTTAATTTTTCACTAAGCGTGGATTTTTTTAATAGACTCAAGGGCTATCACTAAGCTTTTTTTAATAGACTCAAGGACTATCACTAAGCTTATTTTAATTTTTTTTGTAAAGACTAAATTTTTACATTAATCGCTACTTCTAGAATATTTGATACTGAAACTACCGGTCCAGGACTATCACTAAGCGTGGAATTTATAAAATAGACTCAATGAATATTACTAAGGATTTTTTTTTAATATTTTTCGAAGACCCTGTAAATTTGGCTACTACTTCTAGAGGGTTTGATACTGAAAATACCGGTTCAGCCTATATTGACGATAAAATTTTTAAAGACATTTTTATAGGATCACGTCTTTATGCACACCGTATTCGACCCGTAGAACTCAGTGTCGTTTTTACTTTATAAAAATAGTTGTTTTCACGACAATCTGCCCTATAATCTAGGAGTTTTTTAATCATATCTTTAGTGTGGAGTGCAAAACAATTGATATGATATCGGAAGTAATTACATATTACTACCCACAAATGATAATGATATTCAAATTACCTGCCTTTTTGAATGAAACTACATTGACCCAATTTCCTACTATTATTTTCGCTGCATTATAATCACTCAATAATTTGTATGTATGCCAGGTCTGGAGTTTGCTTTTTGGTTTCGGGGAACTACAATATGTATGCGGGTCAGACAATAAGGTCACAGTAACATGAGTATAATCACTTTTTTTATGGGAAATAAATCGTCAGAATTATGGTTGGGTAAGGCCGATATGGTCTTGTGAGATAAATTTAAGCTCAGATCTAAGGTTCAATAAACAGGTCGTATAAGAAGCGAATATTATCAACAATTTTGGTTGAAAATCACGTACTGTCAATTTTTTTTTTAATGTTTTCCATTAAGTTAAAATTGGCGATTAAGTCAAAATTGATGATTACGTCAAAATTGAAATCATTTTCACAGCTTGGGTAAAATCATCTGGACTTATCAGGCGGCATTATTATTAAGCCATGCTCAGAACTATTTTTATGGAACTGATTAGAGATTGTGTAAGTTACTAGTACTTGAAAGCAATAATTTTAATAAGTTTTTTTTTTTTATTTTTTTGCAGGGTTAACTAATATATTGTGTATATATTTTAACTTACATCTAAAGTTATGATCCTATTTATTCATCAATATTTTATATTATTTTCATTTTTGTTATCGTACTCATTTATTAACAAATAATCTTAAAAAATAAACAAATAATTTACTATATATTTAGTCTAATAACTAAGAGGTTACACCACATACAACACAACAAAATAAATATATACCTAAAATAAATAATACAACACTTATATCTACTATTCTTTTTTCTTGGCCAATATAAATTTCTCTTCATCATCGATTTCGTGATGTTCCAAATGCTTCATATAGGCCAAAAAGCATGTCCATATTAAACTACAAACACTGATGAAAGGTACACGATTTTTCTCTGGTATCACAGAGAAATTTATGGTGGCCACAATGGGCCACACAGAGGCAGCAACCTGAAATAAAACTAACAGTTAATAAATATTCCCATTTGAAAAAATAGCTACATACCTTATATGTGGGTAAAAATTTTTTACTAACTTCGGCCGATGCTTCACCCAATGTTTTCATTTCCAATAAACTCATAATGAAATAAAAACATGTCATGGCAGCCGGTGTATAGGATACTGTTTCGACGGCTGCTTTCATAACTGCCGTTCGAAGGGATGTCTTGGGCCACATTGCTGATGATATCTGTAGAAAAAGAAATGTACTTATTATTAAATTAAAATATAATAATTAAATTAATATGTAATAGATTTAACATACCTTAATCCATCCATATAATGTAGGGGCCACAAAAAGCCCACCATATAAACTGAAACGTAAACAACGCCACCAATCAAAATGTCCTATTTAAAATGAAAAAGAAGGAAAGTTCATATCATTCCTAAATGACAGGTATACCTTCGATAGTCTGGTCCAAGATATCGAACGACAGGTGATTGGTGAAGATTTTTTAATAATGAAGCCATATAGCATATAAATATACCACGCAAATATTGAAAAATATATGTGGGGTATATATTTTTGAATATATGTTCAAAATTCCTTAAATCGGTCGGGAATTTTATTTGAGCACTATGTTATTGCATTATGTGGCAGTAGATTGTTCAGATTCACTCTAGTATATGGGCGAATTGCTATAATCCGAATATAAAAAAGCGAAATACTTCTACATCAGTCTTATTTGCGCCCATACTCCGGCCGAAGACAAAGATGAGCAGACCAAAGACATATTTTGCGCCTAGAAACTGCATATGACCGTTACCCTAGCAATGACATTAAAATTCTGCTAATTCAGAAATGAAGATGAAAACCTTGTGACATATACAGACAGCGTGGAAGGAGTAGGATCTGGAAGGAGCATTTTGCAAAGCTTCTGGTATGAAGTAATAACGGCGAGGAAGATACCCCAGAATCAATAAGAGATTACGGTCTAGATTGTAGATGAGGTCAGAATAGCAATTAATCGGCTGAAGAATAATAAAGCAGCAGACACCGATGGATTACCAGTCGAGATTCAAGACCGGTAGTCAGATGCTGATCAGGACGAACTGATTAGTACAATTTGGCTAGAGGAATGCATGCCCAATTATTGGAACATCAGCATCCTGTGTTCCGTGCACATAAAAGGAGACAAGACAATATGTGCCAACTATAGAGGAATTAGTCTCCTTCCCATCGCATATAAAGTTCTATCCAGAGTGCTGTGTGAACGTCTTAAGTCAATGGTCAATTATATTATTGAATCTTATCAAAGCAGCTTCAGATATGGCAAATCCACTATAGATCAGATTTTCACACTGTGCCATAATCCTGAAAAATACCCACGAAAAATACTTCTACACATTCCACATTTTCGTCGACTACAAAGCCGCATTCGAAAGCCCCGTCCGTCCTCAGAGGGGTTTAAAGCCATATCTGCGTTCAGCATTCCTGAAAAATTAATACGACTATGAACGATAAGAAAGGACCTATCGGAGCCCCTCAATACCGACAAAGTGACAGTTTGTCGTGTGACCTTTTTAACATCCTGCTTGAAAAGGTCATTCGAGACGCAAAGGTAAACCGAAGTGGCACTCTGTACACCAAACAACACATGTTACTCGCTTACGCCGATGACATCGATATAATGGGTCGAACATTGCGAGCGGTAACAGCCCCCTTTGAACAAATTGGGAAGGAGCCTGCCCAAGTGGTAAATGGCGAAAGACTAACCAGATGGTATCAACGCGCAAGACGTCCAGTAGACTCGGACCAAATGTGGAACTTGAGAACTACGAAGTAGTTAACGATTTTATATACCAACATAGAAGGGAAAGAGTTAGTCGGCATCAGATGGTCATCCGAACCTGGATGCAGGATTTCGAAAACCATCTGGCCAGAATTCTCTCACCGTACAACTTCTTCGCTGTTATCCCATAACAAGAGATAAAATCGTTGTGGGGATCATAACAGGTCACTGCAAGATTAGATCTCTCACTTCAAAATAGGACGTCAACGTAGTGAATTATTGTCGTCTATGTGAGGACGAGGAAGAGCTGGAAACAATTGAACATTTACTCTGCCATCGCTGAGTGGCAGTTCGGCAAATGTGAAATTGATAATTTATAATCCAACTTCCACTATTTATTCTATTTTCCATTCTCTTTTATCCTCTCTTTTCAGGTATCAGGGATGAACACAATGGACAAATGTGCCTGAGTGAACGATTGCAATCAGCAGCCGAACATCCCTTAACCTAACCCAACATTTTTGGAAGTGCCTAAAAGTGCTTCGAATATTTTTTTGAGTGGGTGAAAAAGTGTATAATGGAGTGACCGGACAATAATAATTATAATCTCTTCAGTACATTTCATGTATTTTGCAACAAATATTCAAAAAATCTGTATATCTGATCAAAATGAAAAATTTATCGGCCAGTTGATTAGTTAGTATAAAGTTTAATTTTCTTTTCCATACTTACCAAATTCTTTATTCTCAAATGTTTGCTGAATTAAACTGCTGGTGGGCCATATCAAACTGTAGGAGACCATACCCCGTGTTACCGGATATTTCGTAAGTATTGCTTTGAATTTTAGCAAAAATGTAGACATTGTTATGTGTAACGATGTGCGATGCGGCTCGTAAAAAAAGTGAAAATACTGAAATAGGAAAATGTTTTATTAATCACCCACATATAATGAGCATCAAAGGGTAGTAGACAAGCGAATTACCTTTGTTTTTTGCAAAACTTTTAACAAACATTGACCTTGATTTGCAGATATTGGCGCGGATATTTTTCACTGTTAGTTAATCATACAAAAAAGAAAAATGTTTGTGGAAAAGTAAAAACACTCATACATAACTATGAAACGAAATTGAAATTTCACATAAACGTTTTTTATCGGTTTTCCGTTACCGAATGAACACCCACACACACCAAGTGTTAATGAAAACAGCATGGTGTAACGAAAATCAAAAGGCCAAATCCATTTTAATATTTAAATGCAAGAGTTTGAAGCGAATAGTACATCAATCGTATAGTGGAATCGGAAGTTTAAACATGCAGCTGAAGAATTTGGATTATTTGCTGATTTTCAGCGTATTCGGGGCTTTGTTCAGCTGTAGCCTGGCATTTCATACAAAAATCGTAAATGGCAGTGTGGCTTTACCTGGAGAGTATCCATATATGGTAAGTTGGTAAATTATTTTCCTTTAAAATTATCCTCAAAATAATCCGCAAATAAAAAAAGGTATCTCTGAGACGTGCCTCTTCGGGTCGCCATGCATGTGGTGCCTCTTTGTTAAATCGTGTTTGGGTATTAACGGCTGCCCATTGTGTGGTGAAGCAGGAACCTCACCAAGTTAACATCCAATATGGCAGCAATGAATTGGATCGTAACTCCACGAACATTTCCAATGTTACGAAGATTTTCGTTCACGAAGGCTATGATCCTTCGAATCAATATATTCATGATATAGCCTTGATGCGTTTGGATAAACCGATTAATGTGGAAAAAGATTTTCTGGGCATTCGGTTGCCTGATTTTAATTTGCAAACTGATGCTGAAACTCCAGCCACGCTAGTTGGTTGGGGTCTCAATGCGGTAAGTCCTGAAAACAGAGGACAAGATAATTTTTCTTTAAAATTCCCTCTTTCCTTACAGACTGGTGGTGTGGTTCAGCAACATCTCCAGAAAGTCGATTTAGAAATTTTCAGTGATGCCGAATGTAGCCGTCGACATGGCATCGATATCCATCCGACAAATATTTGTGCTGGTGTACCGGAGGGTGGCAAAGGCCAGTGCAGTGGTGATTCTGGTGGTCCTTTGATTGTTAAAAATACCCAAGTTGGTATTGTGTCGTGGTCACGTAAACCCTGCACAGCCTATCCATATCCGGGTGTTTTCACTGAGGTATCAGCATATGTTGCTTGGATTTTGGAAACCATATTGGATGCTGAAGATGAGGAAGATTTCGGTGACAGTCAAGAGGGTTTGAGCGGTATTGATGGTATATTAAGTGGAAATTTAATTGTTATTGGCTCGAAGCGTTTGGCTTTCTTGAAGAAAATATTGAAATAAATGTGGTTAATCGAAATATTCAAAATGAATTAAAAATCAAAGTGAACTTTTCTTTTTTTAGAATTGAATAAAGTAGTTTTTTTGCCCCCATGATAAAATCCCAATTAAGAATAGGCGAGTTTACTTGCGGCAAGTCTATGTTTGTAGGAACGAGGGGCAAGGGGAATAAAATTAACAAAAATTGATCGTACCGCTAATTGTCTGGCAAATCGTTTTGTGTATTTCGTATTGTAGTGTCCAAAACTTGAAACTTACTTAGCTCGCTTGTTACAGAACGGTTGTTCCATAAGCATCTCCTCCAATTTAAAAGAACATGTTACGAGACGTTGACTTCTACTTGGTCTTTCCATCTAATTCGTGGCCTTCCCCTTCTGAGTGAACTATCAGTAGGCCCTCTTTTATAAGCCTTTTGAGCTGGGGCATACTCATTTATTCGCACAACATGGCCTAGCCACCGTAGTCGTTAGTTTTGCTGCTGACCACTAGTTTTGCTGCTTTATTACTCTTCAGCCGATTGATTGTTATTCTGATCTCATCTTTGCTGGGGTATCCTCTTCACCGCCACTATTTGATACCAGAAACTTTTCAAAATGCTCCTTCCAGATCCTCAACATGCTGTCTGTGTCTGTCAACAGGCTTTCCGGACTTCATTCTGACTCCTGTTGACTTTTATCGGGACAAGAAGGGCTTTCGTCAAGCAGGTGGGTAAGTTGCAGCTTTTCGACGTCAAGTTTCCGTGTTGTGTTGTCCGAGTGCGAACCTTGGCTGCTACAAGGTACTGGTCCGAATCGATATTCGCTCCTCGTATCGATCGAACGTCTAATACACTGGATGAATGCCTTCCGTCTATCACAACATGATCAATTTGATTTCTCGTTGCTTGATAAGGAGATATCAAGGTGACCTTTTGTATTTTGGTTTTCTTTTTCGTTGCTTTTTCATAGTAGGAGGGGTTTTCCGAGTGTGGACAAATAACCCAACGCCTCAACTCATTAAAAAAAACTTGAAATACCAATTGTAAATAAATCGAAGGTCAATTTTCGATATCCCAATTTTATATCCATTCGAAATTCATCCAAACTTATATTCAATTAATCCGAACCAAAAAACGTGAATGTCTTTAAGAATAGAGCGAGAAAGTTAGAACTTTGTATAGATGCGTATTTTTTTTATTTTGTTATAAATAGTGTGGCTGAGTCAGATCTAAAGGGGACCCCCAATTCTCGATTTCAAAAAATTGAATTTTGTGTTTTAATTTAATTCGAACCTATGCTAATTCAAGAATTTCAGGTAAAATTATAAAAAACTCTTGAAGATATAGCCGATTAATTGTGTTAACATCAAGTGACGGCAATAGTGCTTCTCAAACTGTAAACGCGTTTTTCTTAAAACAGTGTTTTTACGAATGGCGGACACGAGAACTCAAAAACTAATAATCTAAAACGTTTCAAATTTTAACACGTTATTCTGTACATACATAGCTAGGACATGAACTAGGATAAATGTAATCGGCCAAGATCTTCCTTATTTGCTAACTTGGTTTATGGTGGGTCATTTAACTCGCACTTAACCCCAAGCGAAAGTTTGAACTTTTACTGCAAATAAATGTCCGTATCTTTAATTTTCTTGGTATGACAAGTTAGGCCCGGTCGGAACTTAATGTTTTTTTTGTTAAATATAAAACATTTTCAATATTTTTAAATGTTTCTTTATATAATCCCGAATTTATCATTTTAGGTTTCATTGCGGCGCGCCAAAGACAAACAACATTTTTGTGCGGGAACAATATTGAATTCACAATGGATTTTGACAGCAGCTCATTGTTTTACATTTATCTGGTCTCCCAAGGATATTGTAATACAATATGGAAGTAATGAACTGAAACCACTTATTCCACTATATAAAGATGTAGAAGAGATTATCAAACATGAAGGCTATAATCCGACTGTGGCAATACATGATATTGCCCTATTGAAATTGGCAAATCCTTTACCACTTTTCCCTAACATAGGACATGTCCAAATAATGGAAGAATCCATGGCATCATATGAAAATAAAGAAGTAACACTGATTGGATGGGGCCTTAATGAGGTGAGATTGAAATGATTCAAATTCAATAATTTAAATAATTATTTTCATTATGACTTTCAGACCATGGGTACACTTACCCCCAGACTACATAAGGTCTCATTGAAAACCATAACCCTAACCGAATGTCGTTTATCGTTATTATCTGTAATACACAGAACTAATCTTTGTGCCGGAGGTTATGGTAAGGGTCAATGTTCTGGAGACTCTGGTGGTCCCTTATTACTAAACAACAAACAAATTGGTTTGGTATCTTGGAGTATTAAACCTTGTGGACAAAAGCCGGGAGTTTTTACAAATATTTCGTATTACATAGATTGGATCAAAGAACATATTAAATAAGTAAAATAATAATAATAAAAAATAAATACATTTTTAAAAATATTTCATATTACATAGATTGGATCAAAATATCATATTAAATAATTAAAAAAACATTTTTGTTCTATTTTACAAACAAATAAATGCATTTTATTCATTTTTTACACATTTAACATCATAACACCCTAAAATTATAATAACACTTAAAAATTAAAAAAAAAAATAATAAATTGCACTAAAAATTATTCTAAGGTTCAGTAGACGTATTTACATGGTCAAAGCCTTCCCCCGTTGTACATCGTCATCGTAGTGTTGTTGTTGTTCTTCCTCCTCATGAATTTCCATTGTCTTCATGTAAGCCAAGAAGGTGGTCCACATTAAACTACAAATACTTACAAACACTACACGATGTCTTTCGGGTACCATGGAAAAGTTGATGGTCTGTAAAATGGGCCATATGCAAATACCAACCTGCAATACAAAAGAAAATCGGTTAATTTTTGATTAAATTCAAAGTTACATGGTGATGACCTATTTATTTATTTTTTCTTTTTTAACAAGATAAGATATTTTCACGGGATGGATGACTGATAACAATTCATTGTCATTGTAAGTAAATAATAAGTATTCGGAATTTGTTGTAAAAAAATACAGGAGTTAAAAAAACAATCATCAGGAATGAGGGACAAAAAATGCGTTAATCACAGTATACGAAGTCTTAGCTCAGGAACTGTTGAACATCGTCAAATTTTCAGTAGCCACATAGATTAAAAATTTAAAAGCAAAAACTAGTAAAAAAGTGCCAGGCATAAATAGTATCGTAAATATTCCTTTAGTAGTAGAAAGATCTATGCGCCAGGTTCGCTTAATTTTGTTGTCCGCCTCGTGCCATATTTATAAAAGTATTGAATGCAGCGTTTCTTTTATATATAGCATTTCCAGATTAAATGAAACCTTTTATAAATTAAATGAAACCTTTTCCAAATTAAATGAAACCTTTTCCAAATTAAATGAAACCTTTTCCAAATTAAATGAAACCTTTTACAAATAGAATGAAACTTTTTCCAAATTAAATGAAACCTTTATTCTTATCTAAGGAAATATAATATTTGCAGTAATTTTAAACCAATATTTGAAAATTAAATCAAAGAATATTAACAAATATAGTTGTATGGCTATGTAATTAACATAAATATTCTTTAATTCGGTGTAATTTCATTTAATATCTTTACTACATAAAACAAAATAAATAGTAATGCAAACTGGGGTATTTCTTGACATTTTAATAAATAAATATTTAAGAACAAGAATTGAATACCCGGTCCTAAATGCGAAATACATATTTGACTTAATAAATTGTTGATGGTAAGATAACTGCTTATCTTAATGAAGGAGTTCCCGACTTGCAGCTTGTGGGATTTTCAAAACCATGTCCATAACGTAGTTAGAACAATCTTGCCGAGTAAGCTTTTGAATACTTCGCTCGATTACATCAACAATGTTATGTTCCATTGAAACGTCACACAGCTCAGCTCTTGCACATAATTTTATTTTTGAAAATGCATTTTCAATTGGATTTAGCATTGGAGAATAAAGCGGTAAGAATTTAAGGTTGCATCTTTTGGATTCGATCAAATTTTTTATGTCATGTCGCTTGTGTATTTGAGCGTTATTTTCCAACTCTGGGTTGATTTTCTCAAAAAAAATCTATAAATAATTTAAATCTGTCTGCATCGACACTGGAATTAGAAACGATTGTGTGATGTACAACTCCCGCGTTGTTTATTGCTGCAATTATAGTGACATTACGACCTCTGACCGTAGGCAACACAATGTGTGCTCTTGTTCCTTGTCTTGAACGGGCTTGGGTTCTTCGTATGTAAAGAGCTTCCCGATGAGAGCTTCCCGATGCAACCTTAAATTCTTACCGCCTTATTCTCCAATGCTAAATCCAATCGAAAATGCATTTTCAAAAATAAAATTATGTGCAAGAGCTGAGCTGTGTGACGTTTCAATGGAACATAACATTGTTGATGTAATCGAGCGAAGTATTCAAAAGCTTACTCGGCAAGATTTTTCTAACTACGTTATGGACATGGTTTTGAAAATCCCACAAGCTGCAAGTCGGGAACCCCTTCATTAAGATAAGCAGTTACCTTATCATCAACAATTTATTAAGTCAAATATGTATTTCGCATTTAGGACCGGGTATTCAATTCTTGTTCTTAAATATTTATTTATTAAAATGTCAAGAAATACCCCAGTTTGTATTACTATTTATTTAGTTTTATGTAGTAAAGATATTAAATGAAATTACACCGAATTAAAGAATATTTATGTTAATTACATAGCCATACAACTATATTTGTTAATATTCTTTGATTTAATTTTCAAATATTGGTTTAAAATTACTGCAAATTTAACCTGCATAAAAATAAATTCCGAAAAAACATTTATAAGAAGATACAAACAAAATTTTGGAACAGTGAAGGAAAATAAGCGTGGAGGAAATAGAACTAAGTTGTTGACACCACAAGTTTTAAGTCTGATCGAGTTCTATATAGAAAGTCAACCTGGAATTACCCTCAAAGCCATAAAAACTAAACTGTTGAGAGAAAATGATATAAATATTTCCACAAGCTGCATAGAATATGGATTACGGAAATTAAAAATTACGTTTAAGATGGCCTCTATTGAAATAGAACGAAAGAATGACTCCAGAACATTAGGCTTGAGACAAAAAATGCTCAAGACTTTACAAAATGGATACCCCAACAAGGAGAAAAATTTATATTCATTGATGAGTGTGGATTTAATCTTCACATACGAAGAACCCAAGCCCGTTCAAGACAAGGAACAAGAGCACACATTGTGTTGCCTACGGTCAGAGGTCGTAATGTCACTATAATTGCAGCAATAAACAACGCGGGAGTTGTACATCACACAATTGTTTCTAATTCCAGTGTCAATGCAGACAGATTTAAATTATTTATAGAATTTTTTTTTTTGAGAAAATCAATCCAGAGTTGGAAAATAACGCTCAAATACACAAGCGACATGACATAAAAAATTTGATCGAATCCAAAAGATGCAACCTTAAATTCTTACCGCCTTATTCTCCAATGCTAAATCCAATCGAAAATGCATTTTCAAAAATAAAATTATGTGCAAGAGCTGAGCTGTGTGACGTTTCAATGGAACATAACATTGTTGATGTAATCGAGCGAAGTATTCAAAAGCTTACTCGGCAAGATTGTTCTAACTACGTTATGGACATGGTTTTGAAAATCCCACAAGCTGCAAGTCGGGAACCCCTTCATTAAGACAAGCAGTTACCTTATCATCAACAATTTATTAAGTCAAATATGTATTTCGCATTTAGGACCGGGTGTTCAATTCTTGTTCTTAAATATTTATTTATTAAAATGTCAAGAAATACCCCAGTCTGTATTACTATTTATTTAGTTTTATGTAGTAAAGATATTAAATGAAATCACACCGAATTAAAGAATATTTATGTTAATTACATAGCCATACAACTATATTTGTTAATATTCTTTGATTTAATTTTCAAATATTGGTTTAAAATTAGTGCAAATATTATATTTCCTTAGATAAAATAAAGGTTTCATTTAATTTGGAAACAGTTTCATTCTATTTGTAAAAGGTTTCATTTCAATTGGAAAAGGTTTCATTCTATTTGTAAAAGGTTTCATTTCAAGTGGAAAAGGTTTCATTTAATTTGGAAAAGGTTTCATTTAATTTGGAAAAGGTTTCATTTAATTTGGAAAAGGTTTCATTTAATTTGAAAAAGGTTTCATTTAATTTGGAAAAGGGTTCATTTAATTTGTAAAAGGTTTCATTTAATGTGGAAATGCTATATATGGGGCTATATCTAAATCTGAACAGACTTTCACAAAATTTAGTATACATCGTTCTAGACTTAATTCAGTACACCATGTCAAATTTTGTACAAATCGAAAGATATATAGGAGCTTTGGTGCATCATTAACCTAAAATTTGACGAAAATATTTATGGGAGCTATATCTAAATCTGAACTTAATTTCACGAAACTTAGCACGCATCATTCTAGACTCAATTAAATATGCAATACCAAATTTCGTGCAAATCGAAAGATACCTTTTTTCCTCAATTTCAATAGGGTTCGTCCTTGGGCCAAATAAATGAGCTGTGCCAAATTTCATTTAATTCCGATCATAAATGCAAAGACACAACTCCCTCACCACAGAGTGAAGATATGTATGTCAATATTAACATGTTTGGTTCTTCGTGGTGTAAAAATTTTGACCTGGCCGAACTTGCACTTGTTAACGACTTTACAAGTTATTTTTTTAATTTACTATATATGTACTTACCTTAAATGTTGGTACAAATTTGTCTTTCACCTCTTGGACAGCTTGCTCTTTTGTTTTACCTTCCAGTAAAGACATGCCAGCAAAGAAGCTGGCACAAGCGAATGGTCCATAGGATAATTGTTCGATGGCAGCCTAAAAACAAGAATGACAATTAAAACAATTCCATATAAATACTATTCATTTAAAATACTCACCTTTATAAGTCCAACGCGTAATGTCATTTGTGGCCACATGGCCGATGTCAGTTTTACCCAGCCATACAATGTGGGTGCAACATACAATCCACCAAAGATGCCAAATCTTAAGGCACGCATATAATCATAGGTTTCTATTGGGGGTAGCGTGGTGAAAAATATTGGTTTATTTTATAATTTTATAAAGTTGATTGTATACTTACTTATATTTTTACCCTCTATTGTTTGTTGTATTAAACTACTTGTGGGCCACAGAACGGCATATGACAATGCCCCTCTCAGCAATGGATGAGCCGATGTAAAGGCTTTCCATTGGGTTCTTAAGACATGTATACTTAAAGGCATCATTGGCTATATATGGGAGCTGGAACAAATTTTTATTTTCTTTTATGATTTTCAATTTTGATTTTCACTTAAACTGGGCAAATGCAATTTTTTTGAATAAATAAA